AGACTATTCTTCAACGATGATTAATTCCATTAAGCACCGATTTGGGGGGATTTATTCCGCGTCAATTTTTGGCAGATTGCAAAGGGGTACCATCACAGATTTTGGCCGATTTTTCCGAAATGCCATTATCTTTCGATTCTGGAGGCTATAGATCACGGAATCAGGCCGAGGCTATTCTCCATCGATAATGAAGTCTATTGATCCTATTCTCCACGAATGATAAGTCCATTAAGCACCGATTTGGGCAAGGTATTTTCGGATGGCGTTTTCGTAATTTTGTGGGCGTCGACAGGCCATTTTCTTTGGATTTTGAAGACTACAGATCACGGATTCGGCCTGAGACTATTCTTCAACGAGTATTAAGTCCATTAAGCACCGATTTGGGCGGATTTATTCCGGGTAAATTTTTGGCAGATTGCAAAGGGGTACCATCACAGATGTTGGGCGATTTTTCCGAAATGTCATTTTCTTTCGATTCTGGAGGCTATAGATCACGTAATCAGGCCGAGGCTATTGTCCACCGATAATGAAGTCTATTGATCCTATTCTCCACGAATGATAAGTCCATTAAGCACCGATTTGGGCCAATTTATTTTCAGATGGCATTTTTCGTAATTTTTTTGAGCGTCGACAGGCCATTTTCTTTGGATTTTGAAGGCTACAGATCACGGATTCGGCCTGAGACTATTCTGGGTCAATTTTTGGTCGGATTTATTCTGGGTCAATTTTTGGCAGATTGCAAAGGGGTACCATCACAGATTTTGGGCGATTTTTCCAAAATGTAATTTTCTTTCGATTCTGGAGGCTACAGATCACGGAATCAGGCTGAGTCTATTGTCCACCGATAATGAAGTCTATTGATCATATTCTCCACGAATGATAAGTCCATTAAGCCCCAATTTATTCTCGGATGGCATTTTCGTAATTTTGTGGGCGTCGACAGGCCATTTTCTTTGGATTTGAAGGCTACAAATCACGTATTCGGCCTGAGACTATTCTTCAACGATGATTAAGTCTATTAAGCACCGATTTTGGCGGATTTATTCCGGGTAAATTTTTTGGCAGATTGCAAAGGGGTACCATCACAGATTTTGGGCGATTTTTCCGAAATGTCAATTTCTTTCGATTTTTGAGGCTATAGATCACGGAAATGAGGCCGAGACTATTCTCCACCGATAATGAAGTCTATTGATCCTATTCTCCACAAATGATAAGTCCATTAAGCACCAATTTAGCCCAATTTATTCTCGGATGGCATTTTCGTAATTTTGTGGGCGTCGACAGGCCATTTTCTTTGGATTTTGAAGGCTACAGATCACGGATTCAGCCTAAGACTATTCTTCAACGATGATTAAGTCCATTAAGCACCGATTTCAGCGGATTTATTCCTGGTCAATTTTTGGCAGATTGCAAAGGGGCCATCGCAGATTTTGGGCGATTTTTCCGAAATGTCATTTTCTTTCGATTCTGGAGGCTACAAATCATGGAATCAGGCCGAGGCTATTCTCCACCGATAATGAAGTCTATTGATCATATTCTTCACGAATGATAAGTCCATTAAGCACTATTTTGGCCCAATTTATTCTCGGATGGCATTTTCGTAATTTTTTGGGCGTCGACAGGCCATTTTCTTTGGATTATGAAGGCTACAAATCACGAATTCGGCTTGAGACTATTGTTCAACGATGATTAAGTCCATTAAGCACCGATTTGGGCGGATTTATTCCGGGTCAATTTTTGGCAGATTGCAAAGGGGTATGTACCATCACAGATTTTGGGTGATTTTTTCGAAATGCCATTTTCTTTCGATTCTGGAGGCTACATATCACGGAATGTGGCCGAGGCTATTCTCCACCGATAATGAATTCTATTGATCCTATTCTCCACGTATGATAAGTCAATTAAGCACCGATTTGGGCCAATTTATTCTCGGATGGCATTTTCGTAATTTTGTGGGGGTCGACAGGCCATTTTCTTTGGATTTTGAAGGCTACAGATCACGGACTCGGCCTGAGACTATTCTTCAACGATGATTATGTCCATTAAGCACCGAGTTGGGCGGATTTATTCCGAATTAATTTTTGGCAGATTGCATAGGGGTACCATCACAGATTTTGGGCGATTTTTCCGAAATGTCATTTTCTTTCGATTCTGTGGGCTACAGATCACGGAATCAGGCCGAGGCTATTCTCCCCCAATAATGAAGTCTATTGATCCTTTTCTCCACGAATGATAAGTCCTTTAAGCACCGATTTGGGCCAATTTATTTTCATATGGAATTTTTGTAATTTTGTGGGCGTCTGACACGCTAAAACACAACACCAAACTGCGACCAAGTGTAATCGCAGTCCGGAAATGCAGTAAAGTAGCAAGTTCTAGTTATCAACCCGGGGTCTAGATCTACTGCCTACTCCGTGAATATCTATTATCTAGCCAACTAAGTCAAGTGATTGTTGTTTTAACTAAAAGCAGTAAGAAAGCAGGAAATGGTTCGGTTTTCTGAAGCAAGGGAAGAGTCACTCGGGAATGAGTCCCCCTAGCTCCTTAGTTAGGTTCCAGTTGTAATTACTTTTGGTTTCTTTACTGCTGATTATACTGCGGAAGATCCGACAGTAGCTTGGAATCTCTTAAGCTGACCAAGCCCTCTCAGTCCAACTACCCGGCAGACGACTAGTCTTCACCGGGATAGAAAGCTGAGGCTATGAACACAGAACTCCACTACTGGAATTAGATTCCAGTACAAAGCAATGAATCGACTAACTCGCGTATAATCGATTCACTACTACCAATTGAAGAAGCTCTAACAACCTAATCGGATTCTATCTATCTCAGGTTGCAGCAGAATTTAAAAAAAAAGGTGATCAGACTTCAATTGACTCATTCAAAACACTTCAATCGATTATGATCAAGCAATATCACAATCCAAACGTAATTACAATCAAGATTCCTAACACATGAAACTAGGGTTCTTCATACCCAAGTGAGAGAGAGTTCTACTCCATAGAGAGAGAGAGAGGAAAACAGAATACAAAGCAGTCATACTCATAACAATGGGAAGAATCTGCTCTGGGATGATGATTATCACTCCTATGATGATCTCCAAGCTCGATTTGATGAAACCCAGCTCCAAAATCACTTCTAGGATGTGTTCTTCGCACTTTCTCTCTCTAGGGCTCTGTTTTTGCTCCAAAAAATTGATTTTCTCTCCTTTGGCTCGAATTTGGGTTAAAACCAGATTTTCCCGACCACACGGGCAGGCCACACGGCCGTGTGGCTTACCCAACTGCCCGTGTGAGTGTCAATACGTTGAGTTTCGATTAAGTGGACTTCAGTGCAACTAAAACGGACTAAGAATATCAAATCAATAGATTATCAATTAAATTCTTTAAAATATGTATATTAAACATTTTATGTGTTTAATTGGTGAAGCATTAAATAAACGATATAAAAAGACGACTTCATAATACTGCAAGACCTGGGGTTTTACACATTTAGTACATATGCATGACAAGCATGTGACATTCATGTCGTCCAATAAAGCACTATGTTAAAAAAAAAAGTTCACTATCAAGACAAGCATATATGTTTATAGAGATAATTATGTTCTATTTGTGAGGATTGCTATTAGCTGCCCTTTTAAGTAATATTCCTCGACTAATTTTTTATTTGGAGCTTCGCATGTACTCAAACGTATTTAACGGATTATCATTGGTCCTGCACTGCATTGCCACTGCCAACCGCGGCACACCCACCTAGTTGATTTATTAAGGAGCAAAACTTATCTGATGAATAGTTCATAAGAAATTTGACTAGAAGATATTTTTAGATGAGAGAACGATAAAAAAAAACAATAAGATAAATTACCCTTTTAATAATTAACTATATTGAAATTCTCACAACTCTACGTAATCGTGTCTAATTGATATAAGCGTATTCTTACAATTCTATAAGAACCATAGAGTGGTTTCCTAAATACATATGTTGCACTTTATTCTTTGGCTTGTGGGCTTATTTTAGATCACATTGAACCGTAACTAAATGCCAATTAATAATCAAAACCAACATAACAAATACACTATGGATAGAGGGTCGGTTTGCCATTAGCTTTCCGGTTGTTTAGTTTATCGCCGATTGATTCGTACGTCATCATCATGGTCGGTTTCCCTGCAAATTCTTCCATCTCCCTTTCTTTCTTTCTTTCTTTCTTTCTTATTGTCGTGTTTAACGTTTTATTTGCTTGCGTTTTTGGCTTGGCTTTCTATTCTTTTAACGCCTTTATGCTTCTTGTTCATGGAATAAAAGCTTTTAGGAAGGAGGAAGCCAAGCAAAAAGAAACAAACAAAGAAAGAAAGGAATCAATGCGAGGGAGTAGAAGTTTTTTTTTTTTGACAAGATTGCCGCTTATATTGCATTCAACAAAGTGATTACAGAGGGTACTTGATACACAGAGGGGCAAACCATCCAATCAACCAAAGGGTCATTCCGACCGGAAAAATACAACATGAACAAGCAGAGAAGCAGAAGAAAACCCCGGCGAGAGGGAGCCACTGTCACAGACAAACAAATGCATCCAAACACCCTCACGCAACCACCACTATTGAGGAAGCAACAAAGCCAGAGTCAGCTCATCCGATGCAAACAATCTCACAACCAGAGGGAGTAGAAGTTAATAACCATTAAAGTATTGATAGGTGGGGGACTGCTAGTGACCTGTCGTTTCTGTACGATTGACTGTACGGCACCGTCGTCGTCGTCGTCTTTATGTGTTTGTTTTAGGAGAAGAAGAGGATCGATTTGCCGTTTGCCAGCTCTCCCACCCAAAGCTTAGCTGACTCATTAAAATTCCCTGATGAGTACGTCCTCCACCACAAACAACTTTTCTTTCCACTTGTCTAGTGTCTCCCACTCTTCTCCATATATGATATATGCCTCCCAAAATTCGGTGGATATTAAGAATCGTTTCGTTCAAATTACGACTTGCTTTAGAATAAAAGTTTTGAGTCAGAATAAATGTTGTATGTTTTTTTTTTTTGTAATTTAACATTAGCATTCGATTTATTTGATTCCATCTTCGGCTTCCGTTATGTCACACAGCTACTCTACAGTTTGGACTAGATGCAACTGCATCATTCGTACCCATTACAATTTCTGGACCCATTACAATTTCTGGACGTAAGTCTCGAATAATTTCATTTCTGCACAAACTTTCCACAAATTCTTTCGGAATCGTAACCATCACCACTCTGTCCAGCTGTCCGCTTTGATAGCCTCCACCGACGGAAGCAGGTGGTGCAGGGAGAATCAGAACTTGCCATTTCTCACTAGCAGCCGGTTCGACATAGGTTGAAACCCTGATCGGCTCCAACCCATCCTCGAACCTAGCAGAGTATGGGTCTACTCCATCCAACCCGATACAAACAATCTCACAATCGCCATGGTTGATGGGGGAAGGGGAGGACTTCTTTTGATCTTCATCGTCGTCATTATCAAGATCTTTGCATCTTAACCACTCGATCAAGCCCATTACCGAGTTCGAGTCCATTATCTCCCCTGAAGCTTCTCTTATAGATGCAACCGCACTAGCCAATGATGATATCGAGAGAGGTTCATGATTTGAACATCGAACTCGATTCTGTACCATGCAGTTCCCGAAAAATCCACTATCCAACCCCAACGCCTTTCTAGCATCCAAGCAGACGGACATGTCCAATAACCCATCACCATCCTTCTTTACTTTACTTAGACACACCCAAAAGAGACCTGATAACGCTTCAAACGGTGATGCCTGCATCGACCCTGTCCGAGCCATCGCCATGCATGATTGCACCATGGAGCTCGTGAACGAAAAGGAAAGAGTGGTCAGGTGGCTCGCCAGCTCAACATCTTGATCAACGTTTGCAACCGATTTATTAATGGTAGCCTTGTAGTGTTCAATCAAGTCATTGGTTTTACTAATGTGAGGGAGGCTAGGGTTGTGAATGAGCTTTGGGGCAGGCAAACCGTGGAAAAATGGTGGGTGTTGCATTTTCCCTAGGAAAGCTATGTCAGCCCACGCCTTGATGAACATAGTAGCGCAAACCGGATCGGCCAAGAGGTGATAGCAACTCAACCCTATTGCCACGCCTCCACCTTCGAACTCTGTTAGCTGAAAGCAAAAAAAAAACAAGAACAAGTTATGTAGTAGCTAGGGTTCAAATTGAAAAAATCTTGAGTCGAAATCAGAACGACAATCGATCTATATGAGTTTGTTTACCGCAATAACAAACTTTTTTTTTTTTTTTTACCTGAACGTAGAAAGTGGACCAAAAGTAAGGTTTATGGAACATCTCCTCCCAATGGACAAGCTTCATCTCCCTTTCCCTATCGACATTACTAAGCCATTCATCGACACTCCCTTGTGCTCGAGCCTCCACCATTCTCACCCCTGCATCGTTGCACTTTACCATCCAAGTCCTCCCGTCTTCCTCCTTCACCAGCCTCCCCGTTATGATAGGGAAAAACGTGAGTGTCTCGGATATCGACTCCCTCAACATTTTGGTGATCTCGCCCGGCTCGTAATACTTGTCAGGAGTAGTAGTATCCTTAAGATAGTACACCATCTTCAGGTGGTTTTCTCCCATGGCCCGGTCCAGGACGGACAACGAGTGGCGTTTCCCTGGTTGGACCGGTTTCGTGCTCACCACGGTTCGCTTGCATATGTATGTGACCATTGGGTTGGCAGCCATTCGCTTGTTTAATTTGTGACACAATGTTATGCTTGTTGTTTTTTGTGTTTTGCGGTTTGGAGCATCATTATATACATGAGCAAAACATTGAGTTGGGTCATGGGTGAATGTTTTTCCATTAGTAGGTTGGAGAATCAGGGAAATGTGATTTTCGTGATGGGATGAGGTCATGAGATCTGTGAGGATGCCTTGGTTTAAGGCACTGGAAATGCCATTCCAGAGAAATTGGAGGTCTCTCCAACTAACCCTTAATCAAGTGATGATTAATTTATTTTTTCTCTTGTATATGTTGTTTGATTGGGAAAAAAAATCTGGTTTTATAGTCAATTTAACAAACAAATCTATATATGCGCTATATCTTTTATCGGTTTTGAATCTCAATATAATAAATGATTTTCAAATTTGTTGCTAATTAGGTCGACTCGTGCTTATACGTGATTAAGCACGTCCATAGATAAGACAGATGATATCAAGCATTATGCCAGCTATTATATTTCACATGACGATCGAATATTAAATATTAAACATGTAAAAAAAATATGAAAATTTTGAAAGTCAAGAATTAAATGGCATATTTGATAAACTTGTTTTTTTAGCATCATTGTGTATATACATTCACTTGATTTCTTAAAAATTGGAACTCACCATCTGAGAGTTGGCTCCAAAATGGCTATTATCAATGCATGTTTCTCTTATTCTGTTTCATGACCACCGTCGTCAAGCATGGAATTGTGGCAGAAAACAAAAAGAAGAACAGCCTGTCGAATGGTATTAATTATGGAAACAAGATAATTTTTTTAGGGAGCAAAAATAGTTATCATTTTTTTCCATGTACCACCTAACCAACTGCCTCTCCTTTTATCTCTATTAATATCAGAATACAAAAGGGGAAACAGAAACTAAAGATTATTGGGGAGATCAGTTATTAATTTATTTTCTCTTCGTCATCATCATATCTTTTCTTTCTAAGTAAAGCACAACCGGATCACATGGCCGTTTAGGAAGGTTCGTCTTCGATAGGGATAGATGGATAAAACTTATAAATATTATTTTTGTCCAATTGTATCACAAGTGACGATTGACATCGTTTTTATATGTTGTCTGCTTATAATGACGATTATGTAACGTTAACGTGTGCATTGAATTCACAAAAAGAAGTGAGTACACCGAAGACAAAACCATATATTAGTTCACCTACTAATTAACTAATGAGACTTATATCTAATCATAATTTTTTTTTTTTTGACAAAAGATATTCATTATAATATATCTAATCATGATCGATTTGCGATTTGATGTTAATTTTATCAATTCGATCAAACATCAATGAAACATGATTGATTTAATCAAACATCAATCAAATTTGATTAACTTCCGAACTTATCTTATAATTTTGAGTAGCCCCAACTAAGCTATAGCTAAGTGTGAAAACTGGGATTCTGAGAATGTGTACACATCTGCTCTCAATCATGTGCTGCCTTAATTTCCAGCATAGAATTATTTTATTTTTTCCCGAGTTCACTGTTTTAAATAACAAAAAACCAGTTTGCTTGTCATATGTATATGACGAACCAATGTTTGACACATAATAAGATGAGAATGTCATTATAATTATTATATGTATATGAAACAAACAAACAAACAAAAAAGACGATTAGTTTAATGGGATTCGGCAGTGGGAATATTCATTACAGGTTGTACAGTTAGCTCTCTGTGCTGTGTTGTTTCTGAATAGTTTTTGCAAGGACGCGTACTCCATTTATTCTTCGTAATGCACATTACGCTTCTCCCACTACCTCAGTCAGGAGCCACTTAATTATTCCATTGTACTCTACTATATGTTTGTGTGATTTGTTAAAGAAATTCTGAGCTAGAAAATAAAATATATTCTCTTCTACTAAGTCATGTCGGTTGTGAATTTCTGAAGGCCCAGCTGTTTGAGCTCATCACTAAATACAACCTTCGATTTGAACTTGATTCACATTCAAACGACTTATGGAAAGACTCTCATTTTGAAATTTTATGATATTTATTGTCATTATAACTAATTCAATTTTTTTGCACTGATTAAAGTTTAGGACTTTGCTACGGTGACATGCATGTCACGGTGACATGCACTTTTCGGTCGACCTCATATAGGATCCGGTCGACCTAATCAGTTGTTTCAGTGTAAAAACAGTTTCATGGTGCCTACTTTGAAGATTCATATCTTACAATTGGCTAGATGGAAATTGGAGATTAAAGGCTTGTTTTGAAGCTGAAGTGTCCCTCTACACATTAAAGTACTTGGGAGCTCAATAGAAAGTCCAAAAGACCATTTTTGAACCTGACCAAAAGGTTAGGCCAAAACTGGGAAACTGCCTGAAAATGGCTAAGTCTGGCAACGTGTTTGTCAAGCCTACTTTGGAGCTCAATTTGAGAAGCATGGATGCGAGTCAAGTCCAAGGGTCTCTACCACGTTAAATTACGTATTTTTTTATACAAATAAAAGGCATTGGATGAAAGATTGAATATCTTTAAGGCTTCAAACAAAAGGCTCGAAGTTGCTACGAAGGCTGTTTTTCTGACAGCTTGCTTGTGCTCGAAGTCTGCCAGAAAAACAGCCTTCGTAGCAACTTCGAGCCTTTTGTTTGAAGCCTTAAAGATATCCAACCTTTCATCCAATTCCTTGAATTTGTATAAAAACATACCTAATTTAACGTGGTAGAGGCTCCTGGACTCGACTCGCATTCATGCTTCTCGAATTGAGCTCAAAAATAGGCTTCACAAACACGTTTCCAGACTTAGCCATTTCTAGGTAGTTTCCCAGTTTTGGCATAGCCTTTTGATGAGGTTCAAAAATGGTCTTCTGGACTTCCTATCGAGCTCTCAATCACTTCAATATGTAGAGGGACACTCCAGCTTCAAAACAAGTCATTAGTCTTCAATTTCCATCTAGCCAATTGTATGATATGAATATCCAAAGTAGGCACCATGAACTGTTTTTACACTGAAACAACAGATTAGGTCGACCGGATCCTATATGAGGTCGACCGAATCCAAAATGAGGTCGACCGGATCCTAAATGAGGTCGACCGGATCCTATATGAGGTCGACCGAATCCAAAATGAGGTCGACCGGATCCTATATGAGGTCGACCGGATCCTATATGAGGTCGACCTAATTCTAACTGAGGTCGACCGGAAAGTGCAAGTCACCATGACATGCATGTCACCATAGGCACACCCTAAAGTTTATAGAATCCTTTTTCCTAAGCATAGGCTCGAGACGGAACATTCACATAATGTCATTAGTCCTACCGAAAGTAGCGGAATACTTTTTCCTAATACCAAACGGGCTTCCCGAGGTCTTACTCAACATTGACATTGTGTTATGTAGGTAGTGTTTATTGATCTATTAGCTAAGGCATTTCTCAACTATTCTCAAATTAAAGGAGATCAAACTGAAGTATATATATATTCCGAATATGCCTGTTTGCGTATACCCTTTTATCAATGATGACTACGATAACTAGAAACCAATTCCTTGAACAAGGTTTCATCAAGGTATGTTGTCGTCCTGTCGTGTTGTTCTTATGCAAAGGAAACAAAGCAAAACTCGACCAAGTGCCATATGCATGCCTTAGAAAATGCTTGAAGAAGTCAAGTTTGCAACTCATCACTTGCGTACATAACCGAGAATATGAGCCTTTACGTTAATTCGGTTGTTGCAAGTCCAAAAGACTCCCATTACAAGGATCGTACCGAAACGGTAAGAGATAAAAACTCATACAAACACTTTTTTAACGAGTTAAGTTATTGATATTAAGTGATTTATTCATTAACGTGGTATTAAAGTCTTTGATCGAGAAAATATGTTTCGAAATTTTATAACTACCCCAATGTAAACAATAATTCAATACAAGAGATAATATTGTCAACCTGCACAAACTGTAAGCTAAATGGTTTAGCAAATGATGATATGTTTAACATGTGCAAACTGAAAATCCATAAGTAGACTTTCGTTTGAGGGGATGTGTAAGAGATAAAAAAAAAAATTCACACAAACATTTTCCCAACAACTCGAACTATTCGGACTAAGTGATTTTTCGTTAACAGAAACGATGGGAAGCGGATTTTGATTGTCTAGCTATTTTATCACATGATTATGACAACATAACTTTTTGAAATGATTATGAGTTTACGACAACATAATTAAATCGACCATATGTAACTATATTGCATTTTCAGACACTTCACATATGTATACATCGAACGGCCCATGTTCCACATGAAACACGAACGAACCAAACTTGAGGACCATTTGTTTCCTTTGGATGAAGAAACATGCATATGTATATCCGGATAATATTTTGGGTTGTGATGCTCTTTTATTTCCATCGTGGAAAGCTAGCTAACTACCTAACCTTTTATTAAATTAAATCATTATATATAAATTTATGTGATTTACTAATATTGTGTGTTAGACAATCTGTAGCAGGAAGGAGAAGGACCGGTTTTTAAGCCCAAAATGAAAAGATCAAACACCTTTGCTAAATCAGAAACGAAAAAGGAAATTAGAATTGCAAAACCCAATCATGATTTGAGTTCAATACAGAGACCTCCACTGACTCTTATTTATCCGCTAAGTAAACAGATTTGACCGATATTAAAAAAAAAAGTTACAATATTTACTAACCATTTGAATTTAGTAATTTAATAGAACACGATGGCTGTTCTGGTAATGATCCAGAAGTTTAGAGACCGTTTATGCAATTAACCAACGGAAAAGTGGAGATGACGGAGTTAGGAGCGGAGGGGAGCGTGGGGGTTGGCGGGAGATCAATGCCCGCCATGCCGCGCGTTAATAACAGCGCGCCAAAATGGTTGACACGTGGAGTGAAGGAGTGGGGTCCAGAAGAGAAAATGAGGAGACAAATGAAAACCGAACAAAAGAAGAGGGACCAACAAGTAACGGGAATTGGAATGGAATCATCAGACAGTCACGGAATAGTACTGGCCGGACATACGGAACAAAGGGAGAAAAAGAAAATTAACCCCCTTCCCGCTAATTCCGCTCTTCTCTTTCTCCTCACCCACACTTTCACTTTCACACTCTCACTCGCGACGATCTTATATATCATCAATGACGGCATGAGATTTTAAGATATAAAAAATATCATTCACGTGGTGATATTAGAATCACGCAAGAAGATCATATCGACCAATATGGTATGCTTCAACATTTCATAGAGAAGTATATATGAATCGTATTGGTTATAATTGATATGCTATGTAATTGTAATCACATTGTCTATAAATGTGATACAAAAAAATTCAAGTACTACGAACCAACCAAGATTAATGAATAAATAAGGAGTGTTTCGGATCACTACGAATCAGTTCGAAATAAGCAATAATCATTAACGAATCAATGCCTCCATGTTCAAACGATATATTGATTGCAATGCCATATAAAAGCCAAAAATTACTCCATGATTAGGGTGGAAATGAAGCACAATTTCATTGTTCAATTTAAAGCTTTTCTTTCACAAGATTAGATTGTAATAACTTTCACATGGAGAACACACGCAAAATTCATTCTTACACTTCAAAAACAATCCTTTATTCGAAAATCATAAAGGCAGAATTTTAATGCTGCACCTAATCCCAAAAATAATTCCTTCGCATAGGGAAATATAGGAAAATAATAACTAAAAATAAAAAACGTTTTTGGACTTTGGCTACATTTTCCACCCCCGTCCGTCCGTCCATCTGCCTCTGAGCCTCTCCCAAGTCCCAAACCTATTATCTCCTCCCAAGAAAACAAAATAATAAAAATAAAAAATATTGTACCTGCCAAGTACTCTTACCCGTACCATCCTTTCTCCTCCTTCCTTCCGTCTTTTTTATATATATTCCCTTCCTTACCCTTCCCTTCACGCCTCTCCCTCTTCTCTCTCTGAAACGGTTACACAAAGTAAAGCATCTCTCTCTCTCTCTCCTTCCTCCACCTCCGCCGCTGATCTCCGGTCAGATTCAGTTCCAAAAAAATCAAACTCATCCGATTATGAAGCAATTAATCCGCCGCCTCTCCCGCGTGGCCGACTCCTCCACCTACAGCCTCCTCCGCTCCGACTCCCACCACAACCGCCGCCGCGCCGCCGCCTCCGCCGCCGGGAGAGCGGAATCGTTCCGGTCGCTGGTGAAGGCGGCGAGGAGATCCAGCTGCGGGAAGGCCGTCCCGCACGGGTACGTCCCCGTCTACGTCGGCGACGAGATGGAGCGGTTCGTGGTGAGCGCCGAGCTCCTCAACCACCCGGTCTTCGTCGGCCTCCTCAACAAGTCGGCGCAGGAGTACGGCTACGAGCAGCAAGGCGGGCTCCGGATCCCCTGCCACGTCCTCGTCTTCGAGCGGGTCATGGAGGCGATTCGACTCGGCCTCGAGTCACACGACCTCGACGACCTCCTCGGCTCCTGCTCCGCTTCCGTTTCTGCTGCTGCTTCCTCCGCCGCGGCTGCCGTCTCCGTCGGATACTTATGAGAATTGCCGTCTCTCCGATTTAGTGATTTTTTTTTTTTTTAAGATTTGGGGGAGAATTGATCTCACAGAAAAAGGAAAGTGAAAAAAAAAGGGTGGGAGAGAGATGTTTTGGGAGTAGGTGGTTTTTACCGCTGTAAATACAGGAGGTTATTTTTAGTTACCTTTCTAGATGATGATGATAATGATGATAATTTTTTTACCATGGTGATGTGTCATGGGTTGGGGAGCTGTAATTTTTTTTTTCTTAATGGAGTTGTCCGTCCGTTGTAAAACACAGCTACTGAGACAGGCAAGCAATGGAAGAACCGAAGAAGATAATTTTAGAATTAATTAATTAAAAAAAATTCTACCGTTTCCCTGTAAATTCGATTTCCCTCCTTTCTTTTACCCGTCAATTTCGGCTTCGATTTAATTGGTGGCCGGCCGGCCGGCCGAGGGAATCGGGTCGGGGGATTGGTGGCGGGACAGAGATGTAATTTCTCACCCAGTGGAGGAGACAAAACGAGGATGGAAGGACAAGGTAGAATCTATGCCCTGTTTGATAGGGTTAGGTTGGATTATAATTCTTTGTTCCTTCCTCCCAAATCACTACATTTTGGGGCATCGGTGAAAAAGTTTAGGTAGTTGGAAATACGACTGTACGGTTGAGTTTGGTGGAGGATCAGTGAGTTTAGCAGACAATTTTGGCTTCTAAGCTCCACTTGGAGCTCAATTATACTCAAATTGTCCATTAAATGTTCAATGCGTACTCTCGTACTTCATTCTGTATGATACAAACAAGAATGTTAAAACGAACGAGCACTAATTTTTTGCTCTCGGATTTTGTTTACACTGCAACAACCCAATGCTTATGCATATGCACTGGTGGATAGGGTAACCATAGTATGGCAAAACAAGACAATTTAACTATTCGCATTAAGGTGGATATATATAAGTAAGGATGTCACTAGACGAATTAATCCATCCAGTAGAACACGTTGTGTTTGTGAATTCAAAATAAATCGCTCATTTTCTTCTCACATGTTTTGTTTACAAAAATGAGTATGATGCTTACTGTAAGGACGACGTCCTTACGTTTGTGTCCGCCTAAATAAAAATCATTGAATGAGAATCACAAGAAACACAATATATCGTAAGTATTACATCCATTGGTTTATAGTCGGACAGATGGGTGATTGCTTAGCATTAAGAAAATTTTCACAAGTATTAACGGAATCGGGTCATGTTGGTCCTGTAAAGTGGGTAATGTCATTTAGTCATTTTGTTGATGTGACTTGAATCGGACTATCAGCCGCTACGACTGGAAGTCACGGGGTTATTTGAGTTCGTGTTATGGGCCTGTTTGTAACCGCTTTTCCTTTACTAGATTTGACTAGGGTTAGACATAGGAGAAGTAGTATAAATACTTATCATACTCCTCTGTAATCTGTATCTCCTCGAAGTATCGTAAAACTGACTCTCTCCTATCCGTGAACTAGCTAACACAAATTGTGGTGTGTTAGTGAACCACGTAAATCGTGTATATGCACTTTCGTTTTTTGCATTATCGAATCCTCTTATTTTCTAATTTGCAGAAAACCGTCGTAACATATTTTTTTCCTAGTTAGTTTATAGTCGGACAGCTGGGTGATAGAGGTGTTAATGTTAAGAAAGAGTATTAATTTTACGTGCTATTACAAATCGAACAATACAAGAGAAGCCGTCTTATTTAGCACCACACTGACCCCGAATGCCCCCAAAGGGACAAAGAAGAAGACAGTTTAATTAATATATATATTTATATATAAAAAAAACGACTTTTCCTTAGGAGAAGTAAAAGGCCAAAATTAAGAAAATTACAAAGACCCCCTCACATGTAAAACAGTGACCCTCAGAAGCCAATGGAAGCTTTGGGGTTCATTAAGTTAAGTATATTATTATTGTTTAGACCGCAAGTCATTTGCAAGAGAATAGTACGGAAATTAACTTCTTGCTATATAGCTATAGATGCTAGTGAAAGTAAGCCTAATTTCTTTGGATTTTTCACCTCACTTATAGTAAATAGGAGGGCCGATTGCAACGTACGGTGAATTTAATCAAATAAAATAAAGAAAATCGATATACTTGCACGATTCTAATCGTTACCACGTCACCTTCTTTCTTCAAGTGACAGACATAAATATAATTTTAATGACCTATTATGTAATTCATCAAGGCTTAAACACTACTTCTCTAAGTTCAATTCATCCATGGTGTGTTGGCAGACCGATTCTAGCTCATAGACATGTCATTGTTCATTGATTAATGGGTGGCCACATATGTGACTGTCACATTTTTTTGTTTATGTTAATTAGTATTAGTAATCATCATCACGACTAATTATAAAGAGTCATGAATCTGACCATTTCATGCTTAAGTACTCTCACCTAATCTCATATGATAGGTAAGATTCAGGTTCATCGATCGCCCCTGTCTATACACATATATTTCTGTTTAGGTTTGATACTTTAATATAAATCCATGGCTTAAGCTTGATGAATGATGAGTTTCGCCTCTTTTCTGTTCAGGCAATTATCAATAATTTGTTTTAACTGTGCACATATGTCGGCAGGTTAATTACCATGGCAAAAGTGCAATAAAGCACGACTTTGCCCTCTTTGCTGGTTGGTGAATGGCTTTAAGCCTCAATCATGTTTATATATAGGTGGTATGGCGTAATCGAATTGTAGAGTAAACTTCTCCTTCCTCCGTAAATTCCTTTTAAGCAGCATGTATACAGCTAGATTAGAAAAAAACCCATCTCAGCAACTGAAATCGTTAGAAAATCCCTCAAACAAATGGCTGATTACTAGGTTCGAAAAACTATAAAATTTCACTATGTGTACACGTTTTGTTTATTCAAGCGTCAATGTTCGAGTGTACCATGAGCATCAAAAAACACGATTATGTAGACTGTGGACGATATAGCTAGTAGCATATATATGTATGTACACAACCAATTCCTCTTAATGAATGGACTGATTCACAGATGCATGTATCATACAATGTTTGTCATAGTATACGAAGATCGATTTAAGGGTATATAATACAATGATTTTATCTCATTACTCTTGTAAATTGAGCTCATATATACATACGTACATACCAGGCATGATTGCTTTGCGTTGGTGTGACGTTAATGACTCATCATCAAGCTGCATAATTAGCCAATTAGGTGGCAAACCACAACTTGATTTGCTTGAACTGACGTTTATGGTTTATACACGGGCTAGCTAGATATAGAGATGGGATAATCAACCCAATAATTCCAACTAATTAAGATTATATAAGAGAGGACCTACCCACAATAATAATGTATGTATATGGTCGGTCTCATAAATCAAATCCATTTGACACATACCCTTCCACAATCATCATCCATTAATATTTTTTTTTAGTTTCCTTGAGTTGATCAGTGATTTGAGATGATGTATTATAAGGAATCAAAGGATGCGTTGTTTATACTAAACATGGTTGTACATTGATGGATAATATTTATCCATAGTTGTATTAGCCTGCACTATTATGTGTCTAGTAGCCCAACTGTGTTAAGAGGAGTGGGGCCTATTTGCTACGCTAGCTAGTCCGCCGATTTCGTGTTACTAGGGTTCGATCGAGTAGTTCTCAGTCACGATGGGCAAGTATAACTCTTGTGGACCTAGTTAGCAACTCGTATCTCGATTATTTCTTAATTCATTCGTATAATTTTTTCTTCTTAGTTACAATCATATTATTCACGTGATCGATGTATCCATGTGATCATGGTAGGTTTTGTTTATTAGAAAATGAAGATTGGGTTTCAATTAGTTTTTCCAGTTACTCCAACAATTTTTAGTATTAAAAAACGAACACTAAGCAATAAAGAAAATGCTCAATCAAGTATACCAAGGAAAAATACAGAAAATTATACATATAAAAATGTGGTGTCACATGACACCCTAGCTAAATAATTAGATCTGCAAAACTAGCTTGCTAAGCGTAGCTTATGTGAACACATGATAATGAGCTAGCTAAACCCTCAGATTTATTCAATTAATTGTCAATCGAAAGCAATTAAGTAAAATTGAGTAGCAATCATTAGTTACATTAATTATTCGAAGGTTATTACAATAAGGCAAATTATAATAATATGCATAGTCAAGCGATTTGGCTGGAAATTAGACTGGAAATTCCTCGAGAGAAGACCTTATTATACAATATCATCATATAATATAGCTAGCTAGCTAGCTAGTCAGTCATAGTTTCACACTGTGACAGATATACACTGGTTTATCATTATCATAACTATAATAATAATTATTATTATTGTTATTCTCCAGTTACAAGATCCAATTATTGATAACTATATGATTTGCATTCAACTGTAAAATATGATACTATAATGTTTTTTCTTTACTTATTTCTAAAATCAATAGTTTCAGTGGGTTCTTTAGTTAACACGTCTCCTATGTATCATTTTGCATATACATTACATACATGCATGAGACTAGTAAGGAAGGAGAATCAAGGATTGGTATCAAAGAGGTACACGTACCTTGATTTCCTCTTGTGAAGATCGGATTTTGCAATAATTGATATATATAGGGGATTTCCATGGGTTGGATAAATTGGTATTTGGGTATTTAATAATTTGATGTAATGTTCATTTTGCAATATCAATGATTAGAAATAAACCGGTAGTAGTATTGCTCAATTCGTAACATAGAAGATCCTTCTTTCGTACTCGTTGCATGATCGTATTATGATTTTCATAACCACATAACCAATGTGTTGTTCATCCTTCCCGATAAGAATCATGTTACATAAGCTAGATATGCTTTTTGATTAATTCATAACGACAGGGGTGTATTATGTAAATTGATAACTGGCCAATAAATGAAAGGCCAACAGTTAGAAGAATATGGATTGGATGCAAAATAATGTCCAACATTTGGGACACTGGTCAACATATACTTTGGACATTAATTACTTATATTAGTCGA